GGGGATCTTCAGTTCCTTCACACAACCCTAAATGGTCTTCTGTATTTGTCAGCCACCTGCCATGAGCTCGGCCTACATAAGGACTCTTCCTGAATGCCTCCCCTTTGGCCTGTCCTATGATTCTGTCAGTCTGTCTTCTGCCCCGCCCACCACACCACTGCTCATCACTCTAGTATTCTACTCATTCATGCCACCAGTGTGGCAAACCTGAGGGCATTGGCATAGGAGCATGGTACTGAACCCAACACATCCTTATAGGGGTCCTGATGAAGCTACACCTACAACTCACCCTCAATACCTGCTGGGTCCACCAAGCCCCGGACAAATATGGGATCTGCCACATCTAGGGTACTATACCGGGACAGAGAGGAGTATGGATGTGATAATACTGTGGTCAGTATCACCAGGATAATGGAATACAGGTTGGATCTGCTCACCTGCAGGATCTCAATGGACAGTTTCAGGTCCTGTAGAGTTTTCAGGAAGGGTTGGGTGACCAGCTGATATTCCTCTGAGGTGTCTTGCACATCAATCATTTCTACATCTGCTTCTATGTCCAGATCCATCACATCTGCCTTGGCCTGGGCTCTGGCCTGGAGAACATTAAGGATCTCACTCATCTCCTGCCGGCACTGGCTAGGACCATGTAGAAAGCCCTGGATTTGTAGCTCTCTTCCATACTTTGTAATTTTCACCTTATGCTTCTTCTCCAGGGCGTCCAGGATCTGTGAAATGTTCTGGGCGTCATCCATTCCACCAAAGGTGACCGTGTTCAATTTTGAGGTTATGGCCTTGCGGAGGGCTGCACCTGCCACCACTATACTGGTCTCATCTCCAGCAAGAACTCTAATCTGGGCCATGCCTAATGTAGCCTCAGCTTCACTGAAGTAAACCGGACTTTGTAGCATTCCCATTGGTCTAGAATAGCCGTGTGCCTTCTGGTCGTGGAGAGACATTTCCAGGGCTCTTTGGAAAGATTCTTCAGCATCCTCACTTTGGTGCTGAATGAGTGACAATTCCAATACTCTCTGGAGCTCCTCATCCTCCTCCTGTACAGAGGGCCCCTGAGTATCCATCGATCTCTGGATGGCCAGGAGTAGCTGAGCTTCTTCATCCAGTTCTCTGTCTTGGAACTCCTTCCGGGACAATTGACACACTTGGTCCAGTTCTTCATCCTTCACCTCGGAGGTTGTCAAGTCATACTCCTTCGAGGAACTGTCTGTATACAAGTCTTCCTCTGAATCCTCCTCATGGATTTTCTGGCCAAGAGTTGTTGAGCTTTCACTAGATGGGATGTCATTGGGTTTCTCTTCACTCTTCAAAAGGGAGGCAAACATCTTTATTCCTTCTGCCGGAGAGAAATCAGAAGAAAAGTTCTTATGGACCAAACAAGCCTTACATTTCTGAAAGGAAATATACCATAAGAAGTGTACAGGGGCCACAACTAAAGGAGTTGAATTATTAAGCTGCTATTGGCCCGGGCCTGCAGGTTCATAATAAACCAGCTGCCCACAAATACTTTCCACCAATCAGTTCTGCCACAACCAGAGAGGCCAGACTGCCAGTCCAGGCTTGGACACATGACTGTGGTTCTTCCCTCCAATAGCTTGGAGAAAATACTTTCTATACATTCAATGTGTGAAGAGGAGTTCAGTTCTCCACTCTGGGAAAGGGGCAGGGCATCTTTATTTCAGTAGACTCCACCTACAGAATGGCAGCAGCTGGGGTAATTCCCTCCCATCCTTTGTATGACACCAGGAGACAACTAGAGGACGATTACCCATATCAGCATGGAGCAGCCGATTGTCTGACACCTCATCCGTGACCATAGACTGGACAGGAGACGCCGCGATAGCCACTGAGTCATGGACAAAACTCCAGGGATCGATGTCCTGCAAGACACAAAAAGAGGACGCAATCATCAGGAAACCGAATGGAATCTCCCCCAACAGTAAGACGAATCCACCGATTGATCCAAATCCCCCAACATCAGAGGACGATCCCAGTGCCCCCCGACCTCAGAGGACGATCCCAGTGCCCCCCGACCACAGAGGACGATCCCAGTGCCCCCCGACCACAGAGGACGATCCCAGTGCCCCCCGACCTCAGAGGACGATCCCAGTGCCCCCCAACCACAGAGGACGATCCCAGTGCCCCCCAACCTCAGAGGACGATCCCAGTGCCCCCCAACCTCAGAGGACGATCCCAGTGCCCCCCAACCTCAGAGGACGATCCCAGTGCCCCCCAACCTCAGAGGACGATCCCAATGCCCCCAACCTCAGAGGACGATCCCAGTGCCCCCCAACCTCAGAACATCCCAGTGCCCCCCAACCTCAGAGGACACGATCCCATTCCCCCCCAACCTCAGAACATGATCCCAGTGCCCCCCAACCTCAGAACACGATCCCAGTGCCCCCCGACCTCAGAACACGATCCCAGTGCCCCCCGACCTCAGAGGATGATCCAAATCCCCCAACCTCAGAGGACGATTCCAGTGCCCCCCGACCTCAGAGGGACGATCCCAGTGCCCCCAAACCTACAGAGGACAATCCTAGTCCCCCCAACCACCCCGATGGTGATCCCAATCCCCCCAACCAGAGGACAGATGTTGTGAATCCCCCATCCACAGATCTGATCATAATGTTCATATTGATCAAATTCGTCCGTCTATAATGGACAGATTGGACTCCCCCCATGGTCCTGGGTCTATAATGGACAGATTGGACTCCCCGTGGTCCTGAGGTCTATAATGGACAGATAGGACTCCCCGTGGGTCTATAATGGACAGATTGGACTCCCGTGGTCCTGTGGTGGGGCAGACTCAGAATTCTTTGTATCCGATTTTAGCTGATTTGCATAATTTTTCTTCTCAGGCTTAAACCAATACTAGTCATATGAGAGATTTCTCTCATGCAGCCCCCTCGATCGATTCTTCCATTCACCCGAAGCAGCATGGGTAAAGGGCAGTGCCTGCATTGGAAATGATACAGCAGCATTGGGGGACACAGCGCAATTGGGGGGGGGGGGACACAGAGCATTGGGGGGGATGCAGCGCAATTGGTGGGACAAAGCATTGCGGGACACAGCACACTGGGGGGACACAGCGCAATGGGGGGGGACACCATGCAATGGGGGGGGGGACAGAGCATTGCGGGACACAGCATAATGGGGGGATGCAGCACAATGGGGGAGACAGAGCATTGCGGGACACAGCATAATGAGGGGACGCAGCGCAATGGGGGGGATGCAGCACAATGGGGAGGACAGAGCATGGCGGGACACATGGGATTGGGTGCAGTCAATGTTTGGCTGAAAATGTTCCAACTAGAGGGTTGCTGACAGGGCCACACACAGCTCGATTCGGATGAATTTTGAACCCAGTTTGGCTACCTTCACACTTGAAGCCGCCATGTTATTGTGAGAATACCGGGAGCCCCGGGGTCATCACATCCAATAATTCCACAGACACAGAATGAACATGTAGATCAGGAATGGTTCCAGAGACCACCATGAGGTAAGTGGTTCTCCAAGGAGGCAGCCCCGTCCACCATCAAAATCTACAGAGAAGGAATGGCAGAAGAACCCCTGTGATGTCAGCAGAGGACTCACCTTACAATCTAGAACATTCCGGGAGATCAGGGAGGTGTCAATGATACACTGATGCTGCTTCTCGGTGTCACCCAGGATGTGCTGCCCTTTACTCCCCAACAGAAAATGTGACACCCAAGGGTACTCCAGTGTGATGTTGCGGGAGGAGAGAGAAGACAAGACGTGCTGCAGAAGTTCCACTGCTGTCCTACATGAGAAAGCGTCACCCACCACCTGAAAGATGTAGACAAATCATATTCAAACATGACACCAAGAACTTCCCCCGACCAGCCCACACCGAGCTACAACTGAGAGACCCAACCAGGAACATGGTGGAGGACTCCGCTCCTTCCTCTATAACTCTCCTCTCCTGAAATACTCTGCACTGCCGGGGGACTCCGCTCCTTCCTCTATAACTCTCATCTCCTGAAATACTCTGCACTGCCGGGGGGACTCCGCTCCTTCCTCTATAACTCTCATCTCCTGAAATACTCTGTTATTAAAATCTCTCTCTCTCGGCTATCCCATCTGACTACGTCTGCTCTGATTCCCACCCGGTACCTGACCTTGGCTTGAACCGACTACCCAGTAAACATCCAAATCCTGGAAGGACTTGCATACCACGCACATGCGCCTCCTGTCTGCAGACCTTTTCTTGGTGCACCAGCTATGCTCCTGAGTGGACCACCAACCAGCACTCCTACAGGTGACCTGTGCAACTTTGGGCCAGACTCCCGCTGTCCCACTCTCAGGGGAGTCCGGAACTTAGCCGCAAGGGAAGCCCTCTCTCTAATGGCCTCCATCACCAGGTACGTGATAATATCATCCAGCCAGTATATCCGAGGACGAGAGAGACGCTTCCGAACTAGAGGCCCTGTGATAACAGATGACGGCACTTACCCAAGCAGTGAAGGATCTACAGCAATACTTCCAGCTAGAAGGGCGTCCAGCTAGAAGGGCGTCTTCACACCCTCTCTACTTCCGCGGACCAGGATCCCTCCGCCAGTTCCAACCCCATAGCCGCACCTGCCAGTCAGTCTCCTGCCACCACTCCTGCTATTGTGTTTCCACCGCCGGAACCAAGAGTTCCTACTCCGGAACGTTTTCTAGGGGATCGACACAAGTTCAGAGCTTTCAAAAATGCCTGTGAACTATATTTTGCTCTGCAACCATGGACCTTTTCTCTAGAAGCGGTCAAGGTCGGGTTCATCATCTCTCTCTTGTTTGAAGAACCTCAGTCTTGGGCACATAGTCTCCTGGAACAAAAGAGCCCCGCACTTAATTCAGTGAGTGAATTCTTTGAAGCCATGATTGTCCTCTACGACGATCCCCAGAGGACCTCCACTGCCGAATCTTCCCTCAATGCTCTACTACAGGGTCGGCAGCCTGTGGAGGACTACATAGTGGTGTTCCGTAAATGGTCTGCAAACACCGGTTGGAACGATGCAGCATTGAAGTACCAGTTCCGCCTAGCCCTGTCTGAGTCTCTCAAGGATGAGTTAGCTAGGGTGGAAGCTCTATCCTCCTTGGAGAACCTTATCCTGCTCGCTACTCAGTTGGATCAGCGTTGGAGTGTAGCGTATCAGACCTTTCGGCCCACTTGGGTTCTGCGAAAAGTTCCAGGACCAACGGCTCCTGCCCTTGCTCCGCAACCCATCAACACTTCGGAGGTAGAACCTATGCAAATAAGCCTTCTCCGACATGCCATAACTCTGGAAGAAAGGCTATGCAGACAGCAAGGCAACCTCTGTCTTTACTTCGGGGCCACGGGCCACTTCCTGTGTAACTGCCCAGTACGACCAAGTAAGTCCAGCCAGGCCCATCCTTCGTACCTTCAGCTATCTGGGACTTTGACCACCCATGTCATTCTCCCCATGTTTTGAAGGTGGCTGGGACGTCAAATTATGGGCAGTTGTTGACTCAGGAGCTTGTAGCTGTTTCTTAGACATCCAATTATGAAGGACTTACACATCCCTCTGCCTAAGAAACAGTGACTTGACGTCTTACTTGCGGATGGCACTACTCCGAGGTTCCAGACCTGTTACCCAGGAAACCATACCTATTCTTGCAACCACCGACTCCGGCCATCAGGAGTTTATTCGTTTTGACGTGATCAGACCCCCATGTTTCCAGCTATCCAAGGAATACCCTGGTTGCAAGCCCACAACCCACAGATCAATTGGTCCAAGAAGGAAATCATCTTTTCTTCTGAATATTGTCTACAACACTGTGGTGCCCCTACACCCACCAATTCTTCCATATGTCTCTCAGTCCAACCTTCACCAGAGGCCAGTCAACTAGTTCCTTCTACCTACCATGACTCCCTCGATGTGATTGATAAAAAGAAGGCCGACACATTGCCTGCTCATCGGTCTTACGATGGCCCAATTGAGTTACTCCCAGGAGCAGAAATACCATTTGGGCAAATTTTCCCATTGTCTGAGCTTGAACTGGAAGCCCTCCGGCACTATCTAGACGCAAATCTCGCTGAAGGATTCATCCGCCCCTCTTCCTCTCCTGCCGGGGCTGGTATCTTCTTTGTAGAAAAAAAAAAGAATCGATCTCTCAGACCTTGCATTGACTACAGAGAACTTAATAAAATTACCATTAAGAACTGGTATCCTCTTCCTCTGGTGCCTGATTTATTTCAGAGATTTCGAACAGACGGAGTGTTCACTAAATTGGACTTACGGGGGGGCCTACAATTTAGTCCCTATAAGAGAGGGCGATGAGTGGAAGACCGCCTTCAGAACACGCTTCAGACATTTTGAATACTTAGTGATGCAGTTTGGGCTGTGTAATGCCCCTGCTACGTTCCAACATTTTGTGAACGACATCTTTAGAGAATACTTAGACCTTTTCGTGATCGTCTACCTGGACGATATCCTAATCTGCTCTACTTCACTGGAACTCCATCGGGATCACGTTAGGAAGGTGCTAAATACTCTAAGGATGCATGGCTTGTACGCCAAGGCGGAGAAGTGTGAGTCTGAGCAGTCCATCCAGTTCCTGGGGCTAATTTCCACCGAGGGGATCTCCATGGACCCTCAGAAAGTATCTGCTATCCTGGATTGGCCTGCACCTTCAGGCAGGAAAGGGGTCCAAAGATTTGTGGGTTTTGCCAACTTTTATCAGAAATTTATTAAAGGGTTTTTCCACCATCATTGCCCCAATCACTCAAATCACCCGCCAGCATACACGTTTCTGCTGGAGCCAGGAAGCTCAAAAAGCGTTTGAGCAATTAAAAGATCAATGCACCTCCGCTCCTGCGTTACAGCATCCAGATCCAACACTCCTCTTCATCCTGGAGGTAGATGCATCTGAAGTTGCTACAGGAGCCGTGCTCTCCCAGCACCAGGGCCCAAAGGCTCTGCTTCACCCAATAGCCTTTTGTTCTAGAAAACTGAGCCAAGCCGAGAGGAACTACGATGTGCGTGATAGGGAACTTTTAGCGATTAAGATAGCCTTCGAAGAATGGAGATATCTCTTGGAAGGAGCCGGTGTCAAGGTCCTACCTTTTCCCTGAGGTTATGTTACTCCATGTGCTGGCGTCCATCTTGGATTCTGCGGTGCATGGTGGGAATCCTTTTATGCCTTCAGGTCTCTGTGGTCCATCCCCCAGAGGGGTGTGGCTGATGACATATAAGCCTGTGGCCCGCACATGCTCTTTGCACTTGTGTCTTGTGTCTTTGTGTTGCTATTACTCTGTTCTGACTCTCGTGACTCTCCTGGTATCTGATTCGGCTTGTGACTCGACTATTCTTTGTATTCTCCTTTGATCTGACCCTCTGTTGCTGAACCCGGCTCGTGACCTGTGATTCTCGTCTGCTGTCCTGTACGGTTTTGTCCTGTTGTTGTTGACCGGCTTGTCTGACTACTCTTTTGTCTCTTCCACCAGCTACACGCCATTGGCGGCGGCCATTACCACAGCTGAGGTGTCTCGGGGGGGGCCCGCGACCTGGTTCCTGGCTGCGTCAAGTCCATCCCCACCATCAGGGGCCCTGGCGAAGGGCAGCCTGGGACTCCGCGCCCTGAGGGACTTCGGTCTGTGGGTGGTGGTTGTCGTCAGCCAGTGCATTACATTGTTAGGCCTGCCTGTCCGTTCCTCGGCCCCTGCCCTGACAGCCGGCCACCCAATTATGATTTTCACAGATCATAAAAATCTGGAGTATCTAAGACCTCGACAGGCTAGATGGGCTTTATACTTCTCCAGGTATAACTACCATATAACCTACCGCCCAGGATCCAAGAACAGGAAGGCAGATGCCCTTTCCCGCATGTTCCCAGACCCAGAGGAGCCTTCTCCCCCCAACACCATTTTGTCGGGCCAAAATTTTTTTGCTGATCCAACCCAGCCTAAAGTCTTTGATCAAGCAGGCCTCTGCACTATGTCCTGAACCAGAACAAAATTCGATTAGAAGGCAGGATGGTCTTCTGTGGCACAAGGATAAAATCTTTGTACCCCAAGAAGTGAGGTCTCAAGTTTTAAGGGCTTTCCATGACCATCAACTGGCTGGACAATTTGGAGCCCATACGATAATGGAACTAATCCAGTGATCCTTCTGGTGGCCTAACCTGAAACATGACTGTAGAGCTTATGTGAAGTCATGCACAGTGTGTCTGCGGAACAAGGGAAACAAAGCCAAGGCCTGGGGGTTGCGGAGGCCCCTGCCCATTCCTGATCGTCCCTAGGAGATGGTCACAATGGACTTCATTGTGGATTTGCCACCCTCGGAGGGGTTTACTACCATTCTGGTAGGAGTGGATCGGCTATCCAAGATGGCCCACTTTTTACCAATGGTGGGTACGCCATCCACACCAGAGACTGCACTAATCTTCATCAAAGAAATTGTCAGGTTACATGGTCTGCCCAGTAATATCGTCTCAGACCGAGGGGTGCAGTTTACGTCCAGGTTCTGGAGAGCCCTCTGCAAAGCCCTGAAGGTGGAACTCTACTTATCGTCCGACCCACCATCCCCAGAGTAACAGGCAAACGAACCAGACTTTGGAGCAATATTTAAGGTGCTTCTCTGCTTTTTCACAGGACGATTGGGCATCCCTACTCCAATTGGCAGAATTTGCCTACAACTCAGTCCATTCTGCTACAAACCAGTCGTTATTTTGGGCCAATTATGGATTCCACCCTTCTTCCATTCCTGACACCATTCCCGAAGCTTCGGTACCTGCAGTAGAGGGCAGACTCTCCATGCTACAGAACAACTGTAAAGTCCTCTGAGAGTCTATACTGAAATCCCAGGCTGATTATAAGAAACACTAGGACAGGAAACAGAGAGGAAACCCTCCTCTGAAGAGTGGAGACAACAAGTTTGGCTATCAACTGCCAATCTAAAACTCCCATGCCCGTCACGTAAGTTGGGTCCAAGGTACATTGGCCCTTTCCGGATCAAGAGGGAAATCAATCCAGTGGCATTTGAGCTGGAATCATACAAGATCCACCCAGTTTTCCACGTCTCCCTGCTCAAGCCAGCTGTTCCTGATCCTTTTCCAGGGTGAGTAGAACCACCCCCTCCGCCAATAACAGTTGGGGAGGAGACAGAATACGAGGTTGAAGCGATTCTGGACTGCAGAAGGCGGGGAAGACAAATCCAGTACCTGGTCAGATGGAAGGGGTACCCACCTGAAGAAAGTTCCTGGGAACCAAAAGGGAATGTACATGCCACCAGGCTTCTCCGAGAATTTAATTCCAAGTATCCTGAAAAGATGGCCCAGGTGGGCATCCGGAGGCTGCCCTTTAGGGGGCGGGGGCACTGTCAGAGTCCTGTCCACGGCAGGAGTTCTGGAAGATCTGGCATTTCTGCCAGTACTCTACCTGGCCGCAGAAGTACACATCAGCCTCAGTCCGGTGTCAGACGGCCTTTATAAGAAGGCTCATCACTTCCTCTAGTTGCTGGATGATCTCTAGCTCCCCGTGCCCTGTTCCTGTTTCCTGTGACTTGACCCGTGATCTCCTGTTACCGACTCGGCTTGCTCCTGGACCCGTCTACTCTGCCTTACCCCTGATCTGACCTCAGCCTGGCTTACAGGTACTCTCTCTCTCGCTCCTCTGTGTATGACCTCGGCTATCCCATCTGACTACGTCTGCTCCGATTCCCACCTGGTACCTGACCTGGCTTGAACAGACTGCCCAGTAAACACCTAAATCCCGGAAGGGCTTGCCTACCACGCACAGGCGCCTCCTGTCTGCAGACCTATCTCCGTGCACCAGCTGTGCTTCTGAGTGGACCACCAACCAGCACTCCTACAGGCGACCTGTGCAACTTTGGGCCTGACTCCCGCTGTCCCACTCTCAGGGGAGTCCGGAACTTAGCCGCAAGGGAAGCCCTCTCTCCATTGGGCCTCCATCACCAAGTATATGATAGGTTGCTCGCACACTATGGTGGCGCACACTATGGTGGCAGGTTGCTCGAGTCACACATTTTAAATGCTCAGATGAAATATTCTTGGGATGCACTTTGCTGGTTTTGAATGTCTGATTGTGTTCTTTAATGGAAGACGTCTTGGAGAGCTCCATCCAGATACCAGCTAACTCTGGAGGTTTCAGCTCTGACCCCATCATTCTCACCTTCTAGAGGAGGGCTGCATACCCCCAGCAGTGTCACACTGAAGTGTGGGGGGAGGGGCATGAGTCACATCAGGATCCAGGAGGGTTACATGGGGAGGTGTCATGTGCCTTGAAGGCATGTTAGGAAGCACGTTTGGTGCCATGAAGCTCCTCAAACTTGTTCTTAGCCCTCAGCAGCCAGGCATGTCTTATGGATGAGAAGAGCTCAGTGGAATTTGGACATTTAGCCCTTTCCGTGGGTTTGAATGCAGAAAACGTGCTGTGTTGCTGAGGCCTGAAGACCTTAAGGTTAGGTTTGACCTGGGGTTGGGGTCGAGGTCACGACAGACCTTAGGGTCAGGGTCGCGGCCTTAGGGTCAGGGTCACGGCCGCCTTAGGGTCAGGGTCACGGCCGACCTTAGGGTCAGGGTCACGGCCGGCCTTAGGGTCAGGGTCACGGCAGACCTTAGGGACAGGGTCACGGCAGGCCTTAGGGACAGGGTCACGGCAGGCCTTAGGGACAGGGTCGCGGCAGGCCTTAGGGACAGGGTCACGGCAGGCCTTAGGGTCAGGGTCACGGCAGGCCTTAGGGTCAGGGTCACGGCAGGCCTTAGGGTCAGGGTCACGGCAGACCTTAGGGTCAGGGTCACGACAGACCTTCGGGTCAGGGTCACGACAGACCTTAGGGTCAGGGTCACGACAGACCTTAGGGTCAGGGTCACGGCAGACCTTAGGGTCAGGGTCACGACAGACCTTAGGGTCAGGGTCACGGCAGACCTTAGGGTCAGGGTCACGACAGACCTTAGGGTCAGGGTCACGACAGACCTTAGGGTCAGGGTCACGACAGACCTTTGGGTTAGGTTAGACCTGGGCAATCTGGTCAGAGTAACGCTCACCTTGAAGCCAAACTTGCCGTCCTCTTCCAGTGGGAAGATTGTCACTGCGTCCATTCCAGCCAGAAGTTCATGATGATATCTCTGCATGAAGTACAGCTCAGCTGCTTCCATGACAACTTCTGCTTCACGTACATCAGATGCCCTTCTCCTCTCATCTCCCAAAGACATGGAGGTTCTTAAAGGACTAGGAAGACTGTCCCGGTCCTCAGCTTCATCTTTGTCTGGGGAGTGTAGTGTCCTTAAAGATGCCATGCTCATCATATCTTGTTCCAGTGGAAACCCATTACCTGGGAATGGAGTCCTACTTGTGGCATCTCTGATGTAGTCTGTGGTATCTCTGAACTCTCAAAATAATGTGTATGGTCCCGAGGCTCCTCCACTACATCACATAGTTCCACTCCATCCATCTTCTCATTGTTTCCTTGAATACTCGGCTCCTCTGTGTCCTCATCAAGGACTTGCTGCTGCTCTGCTGCATGTTCATGGTTTCATGAATCTTTGTAGGCTCTTTGACCTCCATTTCTCTCTCTTGGGTGGGGTTATTGCTTGGACTTCCCAACAGATCAGGATAGTATCTGGAGACAGAGAGCTGACAGTTCTGTAGGGTGTGTTGTCTGCAGAGGACCTGATCCACCACTGAAACAGAACAAGACAGACGTTAGAGCTGATCGTTCACTCCTTGGCTATAGACCACGGCCAAGTAAAGGGTCATCTATGTCACCACCTTCTACATCTGGGCCATCACGGACCAGGGAGCCAGAAGCTGACCTGTCATGTCTATAGCAATCAAACCAGATCCTGCTGAATCCCACCTATAGCCAATGACCTCCTTCCACATCCATTCACAGCCAATCATCTTCTCCTGTACTGCTCCTATAGCTAATCATCTCCTGCCTTACTTTTATGACCAATTATCTCAGCAGCCTCTACCAATTCTACGGCCAGTTACCTTCTGCTGTATTCCTTCCATGAGAAGTCATTTTATGTACCATTCCCGTGGCCAATCATTTCCTCCAAACCCCTCCCATAGGCAATCATTTCCCTTCAAACCCCTCCCATAGGCAATCATTTCCTCCAAACCCCTCCCATAGGCAATAATTTCCCTCCAAACATCTCCCGTGGACAAGATTTAGTCTCTGGGCAAGTAGTTTGGGACCACAATTTAGTCCCCGGACAAGTAGTTTTGGGACCCCAATTTAGTCCCCGGACAAAGTAGTTTTTTTTAAAACAGTTCCACATCCATGACGGGGCCTTAAAGAATTGAGCTCTGTCATTTCACAGCCATTGTTTCTCATTTGTAGGGACTCTTTAATGACTGGCATAGTACCACTGGATTGGTGTAAGGCCAATGTGAAGCCAATATTTACAAAGCGGTCAAAATCTTGAAGACCAACAAATTAGAAGAAAAAGTAGAGCATGACACCAACTTACGCTACCAGCAGCCACGTTTTCTTGGAATTTGTTGGTCCAGTTGGGTTTTGTGATGACCCCACCATCATATGAGATACTTCTAGGTTAGGCACCATTATTACATATGGTGGAGTCCTGGGACCAAATCTGGAATATCACCAAAAAAAGTCTGAACTAAGTAACAACAGACTGGCTAGGTTTATCTTCTATAGTCGGGAAGATTCTGGAGAGTTTAGTAAATGATCACATAGATGAGTTCTTGCTGGAAAAAATATATATTTTAAGCAACAGACGTCATGGATTCATGAAAAAACAACATTGTCAAACAAGTAGGACAAGGAAATAAATGAAACCTGGATCGTAAACCCGCCAGTGTGAAGGGGCCAGGCAGCTGGGGGACACCGGATGCAAGGGGCAAGGCTGGTGGGGGACACCGGATGCAAGGGGCTATGCTGGTGAAAGGACACCAGATGGAAGGGGCCATGATGATGGGGGACACCGGATGGAAGGGGCCATGATGATGGGGGGGTACACCGGATGGAAGGGGCCATGATGATGGGGGACACCGGATGGAAGGGGCCATGATGATGGGGGACACCGGATGGAAGGGGCCATGATGATGGGGGACACCGGATGGAAGGGGCCATGATGATGGGGGACACCGGATGGAAGGGGCCATGATGATGGGGGGACACCAGATGGAAGGGGCCATGATGATGGGGGACACCGGATGGAAGGGGCCATGATGATGGGGGGACACCGGATGGAAGGGGCCATGATGATGGGGGACACCGGATGGAAGGGGCCATGATGATGGGGGACACCGGATGGAAGGGGCCATGATGATGGGGGACACCGGATGGAAGGGGCCATGATGATGGGGGACACCGGATGGAAGGGGCCATGATGATGGGGGACACCGGATGGAAGGGGCCATGCCGATGGGGGACACCAAACAGAAGGGGTCATGGGTACTTATAACAGTGGAAAGGTTCCCACAGAAAGAGAGAAATGTACAAGCAGGTACCCTGGTGGATGAAGCTGGCTCACCTGAGGTACGGGGTCCAAGTACTAACTGGTGACCGTTAGCACTAACCAGTAGCAAAGTTCGATAACAAGCCATGGTGGGTAATGAGTGGCAGTGAAGACAAAGATGGCAGAAGGAGAGACATGTACAAATACATAAGGGGGGTATGATCACCATGTATAATACATAAGGGGGGATATGATCTCCATGTATAATACATAAGGGGGATATGATCTCCATGTATAATACATAAGGGGGGGATATGATCTCCATGTATAATACATAAGGGGGATATGATCTCCATGTATAATACATAAGGGGGGATATGATCTCCATGTATAATACATAAGGGGGGATATGATCTCCATGTATAATACATAAGGGGGGGATATGATCACCATGTATAATACATAAGGGGGGGGGATATGATCTCCATGTATAAAATACATAAGGGGGGGATATGATCTCCATGTATAATACATAAGGGGGGATATGATCTCCATGTATAATACATAAGGGGGGGGATATGATCTCCATGTATAATACATAAGGGGGGATATGATCTCCATGTATAATACATAAGGGGGGATATGATCACCATGTATAATACATAAGGGGGATATGATCTCCATGTATAATACATAAGGGGGGGGATATGATCTCCATGTATAATACATAAGGGGGGGGATATGATCTCCATGTATAATACATAAGGGGGGATATGATCTCCATGTATAAATACATAAGGGGGGATATGATCTCCATGTATAATACATAAGGGGGGATATGATCTCCATGTATAATACATAAGGGGGGGATATGATCTCCATGTATAATACATAAGGGGGGTATGATCTCCATGTATAATACATAAGGGGGGATGATCTCCATGTATAATACATAAGGGGGGATATGATCACCATGTATAATACATAAGGGGGATATGATCTCCATGTATAAATACATAAGGGGGGGGGGGGATATGATCTCCATGTATAAATACATAAGGGGGGGATATGATCTCCATGTATAATACATAAGGGGGGGATATGATCTCCATGTATAAATACTACATAAGGGGGATATGATCTCCATGTATAATACATAAGGGGGGGATATGATCACCATGTATAATACATAAGGGGGGATATGATCTCCATGTATAATACATAAGGGGGGATATGATCTCCATGTATAATACATAAGGGGGATATGATCTCCATGTATAATACATAAGGGGGGATATGATCTCCATGTATAATACATAAGGGGGGATATGATCTCCATGTATAATACATAGGGGGGATATGATCACCATGCATAATACATAAGGGGGGATATGATCTCCATGCATAATACATAAGGGGGATATGATCTCCGTGTATAATACATAAGGGGGGATATGATCTCCATGTATAATACATAAGGGGGGATATGATCTCCATGTATAATACATAAGGGGGATATGATCTCCATGTATAATACATAAGGGGGATATGATCTCCATGTATAATACATAAGGGGGATATGATCTCCATGTATAATACATAAGGGGGGGATATGATCTCCATGTATAATACATAAGGGGGATATGATCTCCATGTATAATACATAAGGGGGGGATATGATCTCCATGTATAATACATAAGGGGGGATATGATCTCCATGTATAATACATAAGGGGGGGGATATGAATCTCCATGTATAATACATAAGGGGGGATATGATCTCCATGTATAATACATAAGGGGGGATATGATCTCCATGTATAATACATAAGGGGGGAGATATGATCTCCATGTATAATACATAAGGGGGGATATGATCTCCATGTATAATACATAAGGGGGGATATGATCTCCATGTATAATACATAAGGGGGGATATGATCTCCATGTATAATACATAAGGGGGGGATATGATCTCCATGTATAATACATAAGGGGGGGATATGATCTCCATGTATAATACATAAGGGGGGGATATGATCCCATGTATAATACATAAGGGGGGGGATATGATCTCCATGTATAATACATAAGGGGGGATATGATCTCCATGTATAATACATAAGGGGGGATATGATCTCCATGTATAATACATAAGGGGGGATATGATCTCCATGTATAATACATAAGGGGGGGGGATATGATCCCATGTATAATACATAAGGGGGGGGATATGATCTCCATGTATAATACATAAGGGGGGATATGATCTCCGTGTATAATACATAAGGGGGATATGATCTCCGTGTATAATACATAAGGGGGTGGATATGATCTCCATGTATAATACATAAGGGGGATATGATCTCCATGTATAATACATAAGGGGGGTGATATGATCTCCATGTATAATACATAAGGGGGGATATGATCTCCATGTATAATACATAAGGGGGGATATGATCTCCATGTATAATACATAAGGGGGGGTATGATCTCCATGTATAATACATAAGGGGGGGATATGATCTCCATGTATAATACATAAGGGGGGGATATGATCTCCATGTATAAATACATAAGGGGGGATATGATCTCCATGTATAATACATAAGGGGGGGGATATGATCTCCATGTATAATACATAAGGGGGGATATGATCTCCATGTATAATACATAAGGGGGGGATATGATCTCCATGTATAATACATAAGGGGGGATATGATCTCCATGTATAATACATAAGGGGGGATATGATCTCCATGTATAATACATAAGGGGGGATATGATCTCCATGTATAATACATAAGGGGGATATGATCTCCATGTATAATACATAAGGGGGGATATGATCTCCATGTATAAACATAAGGGGGGGATATGATCTCCATGTATAATACATAAGGGGGGGATATGATCTCCATGTATAATACATAAGGGGGGGATATGATCTCCATGTATAATACATAGGGGGGGATATGATCCCATGTATAATACATAAGGGGGGGGATATGATCTCCATGTATAATACATAAGGGGGGATATGATCTCCATGTATAATACATAAGGGGGGATATGATCTCCATGTATAATACATAGGGGGATATGATCTCCATGTATAATACATAAGGGGGGGATATGATCCCATGTATAATACATAAGGGGGGGATATGATCTCCATGTATAATACATAAGGGGGGATATGATCTCCATGTATAATACATAAGGGGGGATATGATCTCCGTGTATAATACATAAGGGGGGATATGATCTCCATGTATAATACATAAGGGGGGATATGATCTCCATGTATAATACATAAGGGGGGATATGATCTCCATGTATAATACATAAAGGGGGGATATGATCTCCATGTATAATACATAAGGGGGGGGATATGATCTCCATGTATAAATACATAAGGGGGGATATGATCTCCATGTATAAATACATAAGGGGGGGGATATGATCTCCAATGTATAATACATAAGGGGGGGGATATGATCTCCATGTATAATACATCAGTGGCTCATACAGTGAACTCGGTGTAGTTATTCCCCCTGAGGTCATCACAGAGGACAAGGGGCGCTCTTTACGTCTGGAGGAAAAGAAATGTAATCTGCAAACACGGAAAGGTTTCTCCACAGTAAGAGCTGTGAGAATGTGGAATAGACTCCCTCCAGAGTTGGTTGTGGCCGGCTCAGTGGAAGATCTGGATGTATTCCTAACGTACATAATACAAATGGACACCAATATTTAGAGGTAATTACAGTGGGGTAGTGGATGAACGGAATACCCAATTGCCTCTCTTGGGAAATCAGGAAGGCAGTTTTTGCCCGCTGGTGCACATTGGATGATGCTTTATTGGGGGTTTTTGCCTTCTTCTGGATGAACGATGGGTATAGGATTGTGTATATGGAGGGTTTCTATTCGTTGACCTAGACGAGTCTCTTCATGTAATTCTGAAACATTAGAACTTTGTAATGAAAGCAGAAGAAGACCGAATGGCGTGGTATACTTCCTGGAGACCAACCCTCAGTTTCAGCTGGAAGGAAGGAAGATGGAGATTTCCCATTTATTCAGGCAGAGCCGCCCAGTGACCCCGGACTCACCATTCCAGTCACAGAAAGAGACCACTGCGGCAGATTTCTCCTTCAGGAAGATCACGGACCTCAACGCACCGCCTCCACTGCGCTTACTCTCAAAGTACATCTCCAGAAGCTCCATTGGTATTTGAGTCCCAATATTTTCCACCAGGATTTCCCCACTGGCCCGGACACGAGCGCAGAGATCGATCGATCGTGTAATTTCTTTTCTTCCACTCGAGTGAATAAACGGTGAAGATCTGAGACAGAAAATGAGAAATGTATAAGAAAGATGACAGAACAGAGACCATGCCACATCCATGGAGATGAGAGAACAGAGACCGTACCACGTCCATGGAGATGACAGAACAGAGACTGTTACATGTCCATGGAGGTGACAGAACGGAGACCATACCACGTCCATGGAGATGACAGAACAGAGACCGTACCACGTCCATGGAGATGACAGAACAGAGACTGTACCATGTCCATGGAGGTGAGAGAACGGAGACCATACCACGTCCATGGAGATGAGAGAACGGAGACCATACCATGTCCATGGAGATGACAGAACAGAGACCGTACCACGCCCATGGAGATGACAGAACGGAGACCATACCATGTCCATGGAGATGACAGAACGGAGACCGTACCCAACGCCCATGGAGATGACAGAACGGAGACCATACCATGTCCATGGAGATGACAAATCGGAGACCATACCACGTCCATGGAGATGACAGAACGGAGACCATACCACGTCCATGGAGATGACAGAACGGAGACCATACCATGTCCATGGAGGTGACAGAACAGAGACCATACCATGTCCATGGAGGTGACAGAACGGAGACCGTACCCACGCCCATGGAGGTGACAGAACGGAGACCATACCATGTCCATGGAGGTGACAGAACGGAGACCATACCACGCCCATGGAGATGACAGAACGGAGACCATACCATGTCCATGGAGATGACAAATCGGAGACCATACCACGTCCATGGAGATGACAGAACGGAGACCATACCATGTCCATGGAGATGACAGAACGGAGACCATACCATGTCCATGGAGGTGACAGAACAGAGACCATACCACGTCCATGGAGATGACAGAACGGAGACCGTACCATGTCCATGGAGATGACAGAACGGAGACCGTACCATGTCCATGGAGATGACAGAACGGAGACCATACCACGTCCATGGAGATGAGAGAACAGAGACCATACCATGTCCATGGAGGTGACAGAACAGAGACTGTACCATGTCCATGGAGATGATAAATCGGAGACCATACCACGTCCATGAGATGACAGAACAGAGACTGTACCATGTCCATGGAGGTGACAGAACGGAGACCATACCACGTCCATGGAGATGACAGAACAGAGACTGTACCATGTCCATGGAGATGACAAATCGGAGACCATACCACGTCCATGGAGATGACAGAACAGAGACTGTACCATGTCCATGGAGGTGACAGAACGGAGACCATACCACGTCCATGGAGATGAGAGAACGGAGACCATACCATGTCCATGGAGATGACAGAACAGAGACCGTACCACGACGCCCATGGAGATGACAGAACGGAGACCATACCATGTCCATGGAGATGACAAATCGGAGACCATACCACGTCCATGGAGATGGCAGAACGGAGACCATACCACGTCCATGGAGGTGACAGAACGGAGACCATACCACGTCCATGGAGGTGACAGAACGGAGACCATACCACGTCCATGGAGGTGACAGAACAGAGACCATACCACGTCCATGGAGGTGACAGAACGGAGACCATACCACGTCCATGGAGATGAGAGAACGGAGACCATACCACGTCCATGGAGATGACAGAACGGAGACCAACCACGTCCATGGAGGTGACAGAACGGAGACCATACCACGTCCATGGAGATGAGAGAACGGAGACCATACCATGTCCATGGAGATGACAGAACAGAGACCGTACCACGCCCATGGAGATGACAAAACAGAGACCATACCATGTCCATGGAGGTGACAGCTGAGAACCTTTTACATGATAAACTCAGGTCGAGGACTGCATACAAAGAGCTGAAGAAGGAATTTAATAAATTTGCCTTCTCCTTGTCTCCAAAGGAGCATGGGGGGGGCTCTTGTCCATATTGGGCGTGGTACTGACACCCCCCAGATGATCCACATTGGCTCACAATTGATATGATCCAGAAATCTTTAGACAGAATAAAGGTGTATAAAGCCCCAGGACCGGATGGCATACACCCACGGGCCCTAAAGAACTGAGCTCGGTCATATCACAGCCATTGTTTCTCATTTGTAGGACTCTTTAATGACTGCACTGGATTGGCGGAAGGTACCAATATTTTTGATAATTAAAGACCTGTTAGGGTACCCCAAGGCTCAGTGTCATTAGTGGGGTACCCCAAAGCTCAGTGTCATTAGTGAGGGACCTCAAGGTTCAGTGTCATTAGTGAGGGACCCAAGGTTCAGTGTCATTAGTGAGGGACCCCCAAGGCTCACTGTCATTAGTGAGGGACCACAAGGTTCAGTGTAATTAATAAAGGACTCCAAGGTTCCAGTGTAATTAATGAAGGACCCCAAGGTTCAGTGTCATTAGTGAGGACTCCAAGGTTCAGTGTCATTAGTGGAGGTGACCCCCAAGGTTCAGTGTCATTAGTGGGGTACCCCAAGGCTTAGTGTCATTAATGAGGGACCCCAAGGTTCAGTGTAATTAATAAAGGACCCCAAGGTTCAGTGTAATTAATGAAGGACCCCAAGGTTCAGTGTAATTAATGAAGGACCCCAAGGTTCAGTGTCATTAATGAAGGACCCCCAAGGTTCAGTGTCAGTGAGGGACCCCAAGGTTCAGTGTCAGTGAGGGACCCCAAGGTTCAGTGTCAGTGAGGGACCCCAAGGTTCAGTGTCATTAGTGAGGGACCCCAAGGTTCAGTGTAATTAATGAAGGACCCCAAGGCTCAGTGTCATTAGTGAGGGACCCCAAGGCTCAGTGTCATTAGTGAGGACCCCAAGGTTCAGTGTCATTAGTGAGGGACCTCAAGGTTCAGTGTCATTAGTGAGGGACCCCAAGGTTTAGTGTCATTAGTGAGGGACCCCAAGGCTCAGTGTCAGTAGTGAGGGACCCCAAGGTTCAGTGTCATTAGTGAGGGACCTCAAGGTTCAGTGTCATTAGTGAGGGACCCAAGGCTCACTGTCATTAGTGAGGGACCACAAGGTTCAGTGTAATTAATAAAGGACTCCAAGGTTCAATGTAATTAATGAAGGACCCCAAGGTTCAGTGTAATTAATGAAGGACCCCAAGGTTCAGTGTCATTAAATGAAGGACCCCAAGGTTCAGTGTCATTAATGAAGGACCCCAAGGTTCAGTGTCATTAATGAAGGACCCCAAGGTTCAGTGTCATTAGTGAGGGACCCCAAGGCTCAGTGTCCAGTGAGGGACCCCAAGGTTCAGTGTCATTAGTGAGGGACCCCCAAGGCTTAGTGTCATTAGTGAGGGACCCCAAGGCTCAGTGTCATTAGTGAGGGACCCCAAGGTTCAGTATAATTAATGAAGGACCCCAAGGTTCAGTGTCATTAATGAAGGACCCCAAGGTTCAGTGTCAGTGAGGGACCCCAAGGTTCAGTGTCAGTGAGGGACCCCAAGGCTTAGTGTCAGTGAGGGACCCCAAGGTTCAGTGTCATTAATGAAGGACCCCAAGGTTCAGTGTCATTAGTGAGGGACCCCAAGGCTCAGTGTCAGTGAGGGACCCCAAGGTTCAGTGTCATTAGTGAGGGACCCCAAGGCTTGTTGTCATTTAGTGAGGGGACCCCAAGGTTCAGTATAATTAATGAAGGACCCCAAGGTTCAGTGTCCATCTAATGAAGGACCCCAAGGTTCAGTGTCATTAATGGAAGGACCCCAAGGTTCAGTGTCATTAGTGAGGGACCCTCAAGGCTCAGGGTCATTAGTGGGGTACCCCAAGGTTTTAGTGATGGACCCCAAGGTTAGTGTCATTAGTGATGGACCCCAAGTTCAGTGTCAGGGAAGATGGAATTGCCTCTCGGGGGATCAGCAAGGATTCTCCACGCTGGAATGAATGGGATCGTGCTTCATTGGGGTTGTCTGCCTTCCTCAGGATGGACGATGGGGACACGGAAGCGGGGGCGACGGCCCGGGGACACGGAAGCGGGGCGACGGCCCGGGGACACGGAAGCGGGGGCGACGGCCCGGGACACGGAAGCGGGGCGACGGCCCGGGGACATGGAAGCGGGGCCTTTGAAGTCTCACCCACCTTCTTGGCTCAGCTCTTCCTGGAAGGACACGAGGACTGAGGTCTTGTCTGCAGAGCGCTCAATGCTGAACTCTGCCCGGGCCGCTCACGGCTTCCACATACAATTCCAGGACAACCTCTGTCGTGTCCGGGCGGATCCACACCGCACAGAGCCACCTTTCTGGATCCCACGGAGGAGGAAGCCTCACCTGAACGGTCACATGATGTAAGAGGTGCTCCCCCTTAGACAAGACACCCCTCCGCATCTGGAAGAGAAACAACCAAATCCGCTGACCAACATGTGACCCCGCAAGTGATCCAGCACCGCTTCCTCCTCCACCATCTGACCAGACGCACCCCGTCACCTTATACACAGGTTACCGATTCAACACCGCTTCCTCCTCCACCATCAGACCAGACACACCCCGTTCACCTTATACACAGGTTACCGATCCAGCACCGCTTCCTCCTCCACCATCAGACCAGACACACCCCGTCACCTTATACACAGGTTACCGATTCAACACCGCTTCCTTCTCCACCATCAGACCAGACACACACCCCCCGTCACCTTATATACACGTTACCGATTCAACACCGCTTCCTCCTCCGCCATCAGAAACCAGACGCACCCCGTCACTTTATATACACGTTACCGATCCAAGCCAAAAAAAACCGCTTCCTCTCCCACCACCATCAGACCAGACACACCCCTCACCTTATATACAGGTTACCGATTCAACACCGCTTCCTCCTCTGCCATCAGACCAGACACACCCCGTCACTTTATATACACGTTACCGATTCAACACCGCTTCCTCCCTCCTCCACCATCAGACCAGACACACCCCGTCACCTTATATACAGGTTACCGATCCAGCACTGCTTCCTCCTCCTCCATCTGACCCAGACACACCCCCGTCACCTTATATACAGGTTACCGATCCAGCACCGGCTTCCTCCTCCACCATCTGACCAGGACGCACCGCACCCCGTCACCTTATACACAGGTTACCGATCCAACACCGCTTCCTCCTCCACCGTTCTGACCAGACACACCCCGTCACCTTATACAGTGAGGAATAGAAGTATTTGAACCCCCTGCGATTCTGCAAGTTCTCCCACTTCTCCATCATGGAGGGTCTGACATTCACATTGCAGGGGATCCCACTCTGAGGACAGAATTCAGGAAATCACATTGCAGGGGATTCCCACTCTGAGGACCAGAATTCAGGAGATCACATTTGCAGGGGATTCCCACTCTCAGGACAGAATTCAGGAGATCACATTGCAGGGATTCCCACTCTGAGGACAGAATTCAGGAGATCACATTGCAGGGGATTCCCACTCTGAGGACAGAATTCAGGAGATCACATTGCAGGGGATTCCCACTCTGAGGACAGAATTCAGGAGATCACATTGTATGATTTGTAAAGAATGTAAATTTGTCTCGCACGGCTGAACAGAAGTATTTGAACCCCTGAGAGCAGCAAGAATTCTGGCTCTCAAAGACCTGTTACTGCGCCTTTACAAAGTCCCCCTCTACTCCACTCATTTCATCTCGCTTAGTAGCCCCTGTCTGAGCTCTTTACAGACACCTGTCCACCCCACAGTCAGTCAGGTGCACGCCAACTACTACCATGGGCAAGACCAAAGAGCTGTCAAAATGGGACACCAGACACAAAATTGTGGACCTCCACAAGGCTGGAAAGGGCTACGGGGCAATTGCCAAGCAGCTTGGTGAAAATAGATCAACTGTTGGAGCAATTGTTAGAAAATGGAAGAGGCTAAGAGGACTGTCAGTCTCCCTCGGACTGGGGCCCCCCCCCCCCCCCCCATGCAAGATGTCCCCCCTCGTGGGGGGATCACTGATGAGAGAAAAGGTGAGGAATCAGCCCAGAACTACAAGGGAGGAGCTGGTCAATGACATGAAGGAGAGCTGGGGCCACAGTTTCACAGGTCACTGTCGGTAGAACACTACGCCGTCATGGTTTCCAATCATGCATTGCACGGAAGGTTCCCCTGCCCAAGTCATCACATGTCTAGGCCCGTCTGAAAGGTTCCCTGCTCAAGTCATCACATGTCCAGGCTCGTCTGAAGGTTCCCCTGCTCTCCAGTCATCACATGTCCAGGCCCGTCTGAAGGTTCCCCTGCTCAAGTCATCACATGTACCAGGCCCGTCTGAAGGTTGGCAATGACCATCTGGATGATGCAGAGGAGGCATGGGAGGAAGTCAAGGTGTGGTCAGATGAGACCAAAGTAGAACTTATGGTCTAAACTTCATCTCATCGTGTTTGGAGGAAAAAGAAGAATGAGTTGCATCCCAAGAACACCATCCTACTGTGAAGCATTGGGGTGGTAAGATCATGCTTTGGGAGTACTTTTGCTGCGAAGGGGACAGGTCAGAGCATTGAAGATGGGTCGTGGCTGGGTCTTCCAACATGACAACGACCCCAAGCACACACAGCCAGGAGAACCAAGGAGTGGCTCCGTAAGAAGCTTATCAAGTTCCTGGAGTGGGGCCTAGCCAGTCTCCACACCTAAAATCCAATAGAACATCTTTGGAGGGAGCTGAAACTCCGTGTTTGCTCAGCGACAGCCCCGAAACCTGACAGATCTAGAGGAGATCGGGCAGTGGAGGACCCAGTCGGCCAAAATCCCTGTTGCAAGTGCAACACTCAGTGGCCAAGGACTACAGGAAACGTCTGACCTCTGAATTGCAGACAAAGGCTTCTGTACCAAAATATTAACACGGATCTTCTCTCAGGGTTCAAAATAATACTGTTGATCAGCCGATGCGAGACAAATACATTCTTTACAAATCATACAATGTGATTTTCCTGAATTCTGTCCTCAGAGAGTGGGAATCCCCTGCAATGTGAATGTCAGACCCTCCATGATGGAGAAGTGGAGAACTTGCAGAATCGCAGGGGGTTCACATACTTCTGTTCCTCACTGTAATACAGGTTGTACCAGGATTAGTACAGAGGGGTGTAAGGGGGGTTGGGGTAAGGTGATGATTGGTCGGTCTCAGTCACTTACCTCCAGGATTGGAGAATGTGATCAGTGCCGCCGACCCGTTCCTGGAGAAGGATTGTATGGCCCCGCCTCCAGAGCGACGTTTATTATTCTCAAAGTAAAGAAGAAGAAAGTCGTTGTCCACGGCTTCAGTGAGACCCAAAACTTGATCTAACCTCCGCCTGGAAGGACAGACATGACACTGTGAGCGACTCTTACAAGATGACATGGCACAGATATTCATCCAATGGACCTCCTCCTGTCACCTGACCAACTCCTCCAGGCCCCCCCACACAGGATTTTCGGCAGAATCAACAGAACATTTCTGTTCTGAGCTGAAAACGAATGCAAGCCAACCACACGTGAGGAACGTCTGCCATGGATTTCCTTCTTCTGGGGCTCAGATACAACGTATGTGTGATCTACAGCACAGAGGTGACCCAATATTTTTGCGATGATGGCGCCCATCGATCACACAATCAGCTCAAACCAAAAACCTTCATTCCTGCATCAAACACCTAAGATGGATTGTACAGCAGCAAGATAGAGTTAGCGTCTAATTGGAAAGTTTGGCCTGAAGATGGACATAGACCCGAGGACATGCATTAGATATATGTTCATACAAGTAGCCACATCTTCTAGGTGATCTGGAGACTACGCGGGAGCATCCACTTGAGGAATAAAGCAGCAAGGCTAACCGAGTAGAACTGGGTTCTCAGTAAGTCGTGAACATGAGTACAGTCTTGTATGCTCTGTAAAAGCCAAGAACTTCCTCAGTGTAGGCCCAACATGCAAGTGTGATGAAGAATGAAATGATCCCTCAGTCCCAACATGGACCCTGAAATGTTGTGCTCTTCGGAAAGGTTCCAAGGCGTCATAGACTCATGGCCGTACGCACTTACATTTTGAACGAAAGCAACCATCTAAGGCCGAAAGCACCGGGCACCCACGTAGTTCCTCATGAACTATCTCTTTTTCTGCTAGAGCAACTGAAATTCTTTAGTGACTAGCCTACTCCCCCCGGTGATCTGAAAGAATGAATGATCCTCAATCGAAAGATGAGCCTTGAATGTTTTGATCTACTACGGAGTGCCTCGTAAAGTGGATACCAAGAGCTGTATACTATTGTTGAAAGTAGGAGCAAGCAATGGGTAACACCATAAAGGACATTTGCAAGGGTGGCCGGACCAAGACTCCATGAATGACCGTGGAAGTATCGTTAACTATCCCAAAGTGATAGCTAATCTGTTCCCCCATTACATAAGCATAGTAGAACTTGCTCTTTTTTTATCAGTAATTCCACCTGAACCCCCCAGGCTGAGACTTGTAAAGGATTCATCCCCCATATAGTAATATCATCCCCAGACAATATAGTAATTCATCCCCCATCAGAACTAACAGATTCATATTCCCCCATACAGGAAATTCATAATCACCCATAACAGTACATTCATATCACCCCCAATATAGTAATTACATCCCCCATACACTCTAATTCGATCCCCATCGATACAGTAAATTCACCCCCCATAATAGTAATTCAGTCCCCCATAAAGTAAAATTCATACACCCCCCATATAGGTAATTCAACCCCCATAGTAAAATATAAATCATATCCCCCATACTGTAATACATATCCCATGTCGACATATAGTAAGTTCATCCCCCCATATAAGTAATTCAGACCCCCCATAGTGAATTCATCCCCAATATCAGTAAATTCATAACCCCCATATCGAGTAATAGTTCATTCCCCATAGTCTAATTCATACCCCCATACAGTAATGGTCATCCCCCCAATACAGTAACTCAAACCCCATATAGTAAAATCTCATGCGACCTAATCCACTAGTATCATCCCCACTAATTAGTAAATTCATCCCCCATACATAGTAATTCATCCCCCATACATAGTAATTCATCCCCCAATTTTAGTAATCTGATCATCCCCCAACACCCCCATATGTCGAGAATCTCATCCCGTTGACCATACTAGAATTAGCGTTCATGTCCCCCAGAACACATAGTAAATCATCCCCCATATGTAATTCATGTCCCCCATAGTAAAATTTCACTACCCCCGACTACCAGTAAATCACATCCCCTACAATTCATCAGTAATTTCAGACACACCAGATAGTAATTCAGTTATAAGGAGCTCCCCCCATACTTAATTATCTCATGTCCCCCATATAAGTCCCTGCAAAGTCTCCTAGACCATGAGTCAATTCACTTACACTTTTGCAGATCAGGGCAGCTCACTGTAAGAACGGATGCAGGTAGAGACCTAGTGGCAGGTCAAAGTACGCATGCACTTTGGCAGACCGACTAATCCACCACCACAACAGACTGAAGTCCTCAGGGACGATTTAGAGTCAGGTGAGGCTAAGTTCCCAGGCTGCAGCCCTTCACAAGGTGCCCCTGATGGATGGGATGGGAACTGTGACGCGCAACCAGATGGATAATTTATAGTCGCGGCCCCCAGGGACTCACCCCGCGATACCACCAGAGATGCGAACGGTAATGGGCCGCTCGCCAAATGGGACGTGAGTAGACTTGTGAGAATGACAATAGCGCAAATCAGACAAGCACGGAGCGTCAATAAAAACGGTGATAAAACAGACTACAGAACAGTAGACATGAGAAATCACAGAGTCACCAAGGCCGGGTTCAGCAACGGAAGGTCAGATCAAAGGTGTGAAACACAGAGAATGGGTCTATAGTACACATCTGCCGAGTACAGAATACCAGAAGAGTCTTTTCGAGATATACACAGAGCTGTAGCAAGACAAAGACAAAACACAACAGACACAAGTGCAAAGAGAGAGCAACGTGCAATCCCAGGCTTATAAAGTACTCAGTCAGCACACCCCTCTGGGGGATGGACCTCAGAGACCTGAAGGCATAAAAATTCCCATCATGCTCAGCAGAAATCAAAGATGGATGCTAGCACATGGAGTAACAAAACCTCTGGGAAAAGGTAACGGAACCTTGACAGTACCTACTCCTCCTCAGGCCCCTAATCCCCCTCCGCGGACTCAACAAAAGGTTTCTGAGGAAAGCCAGGTATGAAAACGGGCGGAGGAGGGCAGGAGCATGGACATCCGCGGAATGAACCCAGAACGGGAGCTCCTCGGGACCATAACCGCGCCAATGAACCAGGAACTGTAATCGCGAAGGGGGGTGACATGGCAAAATGAGAGTCCGCGCACCAATCGAGAGTCCAGGATCCGGCTCACCTCATACTCCTCAAGACCGTCAACCCGAAGATGGACCGGGGCCGAGGCAGAGAGGTATAGAAGCGATTGCAGCAATCAGAGGTTTCAACAGTGATACATGAAAGATATTGTTGAGATCCGCAAATTACCAGGTGGAAGGGGAAGGCATAGGCCACCGGATTCACCTTGCCGGAGAATGCGAAAAGACCCCGTCACAAACGGGGAGCTAGTTTGGGTGTGGGCACCCGACAGATTGAGGGATACGAGTAGACAACCACACCCGATCGCCGACCTGGTATGAAGGAGTGGGCAACCGTCTGCGATCAGCCTGGAACTTCTGACGCTGAGCCGAGTCCCTCAAAGCCCTCTGGATCTGCCCCCATGAAGAACGCAGGGCAGCAAGATGGTTCTCCACAGCCGGAATGTCCTGTGGTGAGAACCTCTCAGGTAATACCACGCGGGTTGTTGGGTACCCATAGTTGGCCATGAAGGGGGACATCCCGGAGGAGGAGTTGACCGCTGAGTTTCCTGGCAAACTCTGCCCAAGGCAGGAGATCGGCCCAATCGTCCTGATGGTCCGAGATATAACAACCGAAGGAATTGTTCTAAGGCCTGATTGGAACGCTCCGCAGCCCCATTGGACTGCGGGTGGTAGGCTGAAGAAAAGGAGAGACTAATGCCCAACTGGGAGCAGAAGGCGTCGCGCCAGAATCTGGACACGAACTGACTCCCGCAGTACGAGACAATCACCTTGGGCAACCCATGCAGGCGAAAAAATCTCCCTGGAAAAGACCGTGGCCAGTTCTTGCGCATGTTGGTAATTTCCTGAGTGGAATACAATGGCACATTTTGGAAAAACGATCGACGACCATGAGGATGACCGTATGGCCCTGAGACACAGGGAGGTCTACAATAAAGTCCATGCCCAGGTGTGACCAAGGAACGCTCCCCATTGGGAATGGGTTGCAGAAGACCCATTGGAAGATGCCGTGGAGATTTATTCTGGGCACAGATCGAACATAATGCCGCTACATAAGAGGCGATGTCGGCACGGAGATTGGCCACCAGAACAACCGAGAGACGACCCAAGACAACTGGTTCCATATCCCCCCGGATGCCCGGCAGTTTTGGAGTTATGGTAGGTACGCAGCAGAACGGTGCGCAACCCCTCGGTACAAAACATCTACCCTCGGTCTCTCGGGAGGAGCGTCAGTTTTGAGCCGCCAAAAATCTGCTCCCCAAGGGGAGAGTCAGACTGGTGCGAATGGCAGCCGGGATCTGATCCGGAGGTATGACCGAGGTTGGCTCAGAGTCCTCCCTGGACAACTCAGAGTATTGCCGCGATAATGCATCAGCCCTGACATTCTTGGAACCAGGCAAATAGGAGACCACATAGTTGAACCGCGACAAGAACAAGGCCCATCTGGCCTGACGGGTGTCAATCTTTTGGCCTCCGAAAGATAAGTCAGGTTCTTATGATCGGTAAGATAGAGGACCGCGAACTGCGGAGCCCTTCGTGAGCAGGTTGCCTCCATTCCTTGAGAGCCAGAATGATTGCCACAACTCCCTATCTCCAATCTGGTAGTTTCACTCTGCAGAGGAAAGCTTCCTGGAGTAGAACCCACAGGGAAGTAGGGGTCCAAATCGGGCGACCGACGTTGAGAGACAGGAGAGCGCCTACTCCCGTCTCGGATGCATCAACCTCAAGGACGAAGGGCAATCCAGGATTGGGATGAGTAGACAGTATTCGGAGCCGAAGCGAAGGCGGAATTTCAGAGCCTCAAAAAGCTACGATGGCCTCGGATGGCCACTCGTGAGGATTGCTGCCCTTCTTGGTTAGGTCTGAGAGAGGTTTTGCCAGAGTGGAGAAGTTCCTGATGAACTTCCGATAGTAGTGGCAAAACCCAAAAAGCGCTGAAACGGGCCGCAGACCATTGGGACGAGGCCACTGCAGAACTGCCGAAACCTT